AGGGCCAACAGGAACCTCACGCAGTTCAACAAGGGAAAGGCCACGTCCTGCGCCTGGGCAGGAACAGCCCCAGGCACCAGCACAGCCTGGGAAGCAGCTCCCAGAGAAGGACCCGAGGGACAAGGTGACCACGAGCCAGCAACATGCCCTTATGGCAAAGCAGGACAACAGCCTCCAAGGCTGCCCCAGGCAGAGCATCATCAGGGGGTGACCCTTCCCCTCCTCAGCCCTGGCGAGACACAGACAGAGGGCTGGGTCCGGTGCTGAGCTCCCCAGAAAAAAGAGACACGGACGTGCTGGACTGAGTCCACCAACGGGGCAGGAAGAAGATGAAAGGGCTTGGGGCATCTGATATACCAGGAGAGGCTGAGAGAGATGTGAGGGTTCACCCTGGAGAAGCAGAGCTTAGTGGGGGATCCTATCCATGTGTGGAAATACCTGATGGGGGGAGTAAAGAAGATTGAGCCAGGCTCTTCTCAGCAGTGCCCAGCAGAGACAGGAGAAGAGGAAACACACACGAAGTTCCATTTAGATGGAAGAAGAAACTGTTGCTGTGAGGCTGGTCTAGCACTGGCACAGGCTGCCCAGAGAGGCTGTGGGGTCTCCACCCTTGGTGCTGTTTAAAACCCAGCTGCACACAGCCCTCACCAAGCTGTTCCAGCCCACCCTGTTTTCATCAGAGCTGGGCTAGATGCCTCCCAGAAGTCCCTTCCAACCTCAACAGTTCTGTGTGAGCACGTGCATGTGCCATGAACTTAACTTTCAGGAAGTTATCAGAAGAATAAAGAATACAAGCCAAGCAACTGAGGAAAGATAAAATATTTGGTAACAAAAATAAAGTTTTCTAATATTTGATCTTTAATGACGACTTTGACAAGTTATTTTGTTATTATTAGGCTCAAATATACCTTTACATCTATTCACACACAATATCAAGAATACTAAAGAGATACAGAACTCTTAAATAATGCCAAAGTAATCACTCAGAGTAAGTAAAACCAGTTAGAATCATCCTGTCTGGCTTACAGAGAATTTCTTTCCTGGTAATTTTCAAAAGAGCCTTATTTTGAACTTTGGGAAGGTTTTAAGGTTTTACCAACAGAGTGGCAGAAGTTTTACCAATGCAGTGGCCAAAAAGCACAAGATACACAAAACATCCAGTATCAGTTTTCCTTAGTAGCTACCACTTCTTAGTTCCAGAAAGTTCCTTACTGTATGGGTTGAACTGGGAGACGGTTATATTGGGCAATCCATTTGAGACATGCATGTGCTATACTCCAGTGTCTCTCAAATCAGCCGTACCAGTGATACATTTCTATTCTATCACCATTTTTGATGTCTTGATAGTCTCGACTCAGACTTTTTGTGATTATTAAAATCTTCAAAGATACAATCTAGAATGACCCAACAGCTGTGTACTCCACGTTATCCTAAGGGTAAGGCAATTTAGTCAAAAAGCTGAGGTTGAAGAGGTAAAAGCTGTGTCCACACGTAAGATTTTGCTAGTATAAACATCTGCAAATTTCCTAGATCTGCTAGGCTGGCTTCCTAGGTCAGCCAGATTGTCTACATCACCTTTCACAAACACTTGATACTGGTTTTCCTGCCTCCCTCTCCCCAGTATGCATTATCCTGACAAAAAAAAAAAATACTGGTGTAACTATACACAGCAGAGCTTCTGCTAGCATGATTTCTGTGGATATGCGGGGGGCAATTTTCCCAAAGCAGTGCTGAAAAATATATATTTACTTTGGAAGCTAAAGTCTGCTACTTCAATTTCTGGATTTTTAAAAATATACCTGCCCATTTCCTTGGTTAATAGAGGCAAAATTTGAAATAAATATACTTTAAAAATTGTTGCATACTGTGCTATTTGGCTGGGACCATTCAAAAAACACAAGGCAAAAAACTCGAGAGAGACGATCGCTAACCTACTTCAGCTCTTGAAGTGTACCACAAAGAGCTGTGGAACACTACGGGTCAGTTTACCACTGGCACATCATTTCATAGTGTAGTATCTTCTCCCTTCCCGCTGACAGACCAAGGACAGGAGACAGTGGGTACCTTCCACAAGAAGCACTGAGGGATTGAAGTTACTGGGATTTTAATAGACATACTGCCATCTGCTTACCGTCCCAATGGGGTGGAGGGGGACAAGCCACTGCTCCAGCAGATCTGCTCTGAAAGCACAGTTCACAAGATACAGACCCCTTTACCCAGTAAGTGCTACAGCACAACTTTCTCCAGGCAGTTACTGGGGGAAGGAAGACTAGCATGTGAAAGAGGAAAGAATAGATGGGAAGGGTTTTGTAGCTAAATAACCATTTTTACTTCCCTTAGATGTACTGGATATGGAAGCTTCACAGTCTGTACTGCAGAGTAAAAACCTGCAATCCTAACAAGGATATTGGAATAAATAAGTAATAAAAGTCAAGAGGCAATCTTCATACTATTCCCGAGTTACTCACTACCTAGTCTAGTAGTCCATAAAATAGTAAAATATTTCAAGGGGTAGATGAGGAAGACTTACTTTAAATCAGCTGAGAATATAACAAACCAAACCCAACTCATATAAAATGTGCACTTGTTTCGACATCGCCTAAAGCTTTTCCTAGTTATCAAAAAGCAATCTGCATAAGATTCTCACACGCTCAGTTTTCTCCTTTCTTAATCTTGTATCCTAAATTCAGTTAGTGCTGAACCAGGCAGCCCTTTCACTAGCAACAGACTTTGGCAAACTCAGGGTTACGACTTCCCTTCAGGTTCAAATAGAAGGGCTAGAAGAAGAGGGAAAATGTTTTATTGCACATGTGAAAGTAATGTGAAACCTTAGTAAACATACAGCTTATCTGCACTGCCACTGATCCTCTCTGTGTGCTCCAGAGTAGTTCATAGTATTCCTGAGGTTTGAAGGTCAAGAAGATTGACTTCTCTGCACTCGAGTATCTCAGAGAATCAACCACCTTTAAGTGACCTTTTCACTACAAAGGGATAGTACGTATAACAACTTTTTTAGTCACCCTAAACCAGAAGGCAACTGCACACAGAAACAAGCTTCTCAATTCCCTTTATTCACTCAATTAAGATGTAGCTTATTAAACACCCTAGACTAAAATCCCACCCTATTATTAATAAATGCAGCAGGCTATGTCTCCAACCATCCACTAGAGACAAACCGTGGTACTGTTACAGCTTGTAGGTCGATACACTCCTTGCCTTTAACCACTGACACTGTCAAAGACAGAATGACAAAGCAAGAAGTCTCTCACATGTTTCTTCAGCCCTGCATGGGTGTTTTCTTGCCTTTTCTGTTAACTTCATTACAGCAGTTTGTAGCAGTTCTGACAAACGCCCAGCCAATTCACGGCGCAGGAATCTTACTGAGAGGAAAGTAATTACCCAAGAGTTTTTAAAGCTCATCCTTCCATATGCAAACATCAGGGATTGAATCACTAAGATGACCTGAACATATTTTATCAAGGAAAAAATGTAAAGCTTCAGGGGTTACCTTTTGCTTTTAATACTTATTCCTGTTTAAAAAGTGTGAGTGAGGACCAAACTGAAACAAAGGAGTGTCAGAAGACAAAGGGACCATCAGGAGGAATTCTCACTATTCCCTGCTCTGGTTTCAGAAAGGTGGGAGGGTTTCTAGTCACAAGCCCCTTCACATAACAAAGCTAAAAACCTGTGAAAGAAGGGGTACTGCTGACATAATGCTGGTATCTTCAGAGCCTTGAAAATTCTTCAGAAACATGAATACTGTAAGAAGGCTTGGAATGCAAACAAACCATGGCAGTATACTTAGGCAATTATTTTGTTTCACGAACAAAGTCACTATTTTGGAAAGGAATGTGATTTTCAGATAGAAAGCTTTAATGACATCATACACTAGACACAGATCAGCGCACAAGATACGTTAACCTGCCCAAGGAAAGGAAGTATGTCAGCAGAAATGCTCTTAGGCTTGGCCAAATGTAAGGCAGAGGATGATACGTTTTTATTAGTAGACAGAACTGCTTCTAGTGGTTAGGCAAAACCTGATGATGACCTAAACTTATGCTGTAAACAGTCCTGTTATCTTATTACAAAGTTTAGCAGTAAACAATCCTACCTTAGTCAAAACCCACTTGGATTTCAAGCTTCACATCCTAAAACACCAAACCATCCATCAAATAGTCAGAATAATGGGAACATCCACACTGTTGTTGATTTGTGTTAAGCCTCTTCTCCTTTACACAACATACCCAATCAAAGCTTCTGCACTCCCTCAGTCATGTGTGCATGCATACTAAACGTCAATTCCAGGGGGCCAAGGCTTTCTCAACCTCTGTCCCTGTTGCAGTGGGGTCAGTTTCTGGATAATTCAACAGAAACCAGCATTTGTTTGGTCAGTCTGTTCTCAGCCAGTTTGTACACACACAGACGTGGGATATGCATAACAGTAAGTGGACTTAACAGGAAGCTGAGAAGAGGGAAGAGAGTAGTCAGGCAGAAAAGAAGGAAAACAAGCGTTGTCTCCACCCCACAAATTTGGTTCCTGTGTTGACAGTCCTCCCGTATCTTTGTGTTGTAACAGAAAAGAAGTATTAGTATTCCCTAACACAGCATCATGACACACAATTACTCTGTAGCAGTCAATCTCAAATTCAAGTTACCTACTGAAATAATACCCTTCTTGGCATCCACTACCTAATCAGTTTCCACTTAGACGACATTAACACCTTCCTTAACACCTTTTATCTAGTTATCACTGTAGTGATAAGCTAGATAGTTAAAACTGTAAATTCTTTATTCCTTAGTGATAAGCTAGATATTTGCAGGAATAAAGAATTTACAGTTTTAACTTAGATGGTGCTTAACATCTCCCCATTCCTCCCAAGTAGTTACGAATGTATTAAAGCATCCCCATCACTGACCAGTATAAATCCATAACTACAAAATATTACACACCTTAACGAAAAAAACCCACAAACAAACAAAAATCAAACCATAAAACATACCTGACTTAATAGCTGTCCATGAAAAACGTTGTTAACCACATTCAAAACCTGTTTTATAAGTTTTCTTTGAGAAGCAGGGATGAGAGCTGGGTATCTGGTGCCCGTAGCCGCCAGTTCCTGCTGCACTTTATCCAAAAGTTCACAGAGAAATTCCTGAGCATCTTGCTGGGCATATCCTCTAAAGGCCGGAATTAGTCTCCACACAGAATGAAGCATAGCAAAAGGAGACACTAGCGCCCATTTGCCAGACCACATAACTTGGAACAGAGTGTGCAGCTCATGGCAGAGAGAAATATGCTTTGAACTGGGCTCCCTGGGCTGAATAAGTTCCATATTTCTACTTTTTGATGCACCTCCACTTAATCCAGAGGACAAACTAGGCCGCCTCACAGAGGATGATCCCTTTATTTTCTCTTGGTTCTCATTCACACATAACGTCGAGGCAGCTATTGACAGGTGTTTAGATGAAGATCTGGTTTTACCGTTGGTTGCTGTTGCCAGCAGTTCCTGAGTTTGGTTGAGATCAAGCTTTAAAAAGCATTCTCGAAAAATAAGTAAGTGACTTAATACCTGCAGGATAGAATTCATATAGCATGTATTTCCCAGGTTTCTCAGCCCTGTCACCCCAGGAGTCACCGTGGGCCTTCGTTTAACTGGAGAGTCACTCAGCTTTTTCAGTCTTACTTCATCTGAGGTATATGTTTCTTTCGACTCTGCCACAGATTCCACGTTTGGTGATGGTTTTTGCAGGCAGGGTGCTGCTGCTGAGGGCGTTCTAATCTGATTTTGTAAACGACTGCTCTTTCTTGGAGGCATCTTTTCCATCTCTGCTTTCAACTCCCGCTTTCGTTCTTGTCTTCTCTTCCTCGCTTTGTCCCTTCTTTCCTCTGCTTCTTCACGACGTTTTTCTTCTTCCAAGATCTTTTTCCCAGTAGGTGTCAACTCCAGCCATGATCTGAAAATTTTTCCCAGGAACGCACGCCGTCGGTGCCAGAGAGCCGTGAACATGCGATCTTCCTTCCGAAGCAAAGCCTGGGCACCACCATGTGAAAGGTAAGAATCATCACTTGTGCCCATAGAACGCAAAGTCCTCCCGCTTCGAGTAGTGCACTCATAGTTTTGACTCTTGATTGCACTTAATGTACTTCGCAGCAGTTTTAAATCACCAGTTGCGTTATCATTAAGAACATAATCATCGCAGAGATAACAGAAAACATACAGCTCGTTTACTTCCAACGCCACTGGGTGACTGCTCTCCTGAAAGTGCTTTAGTGCATGTTCTTCAATGTATCTTCCGCAGGCCACGTGCGAGCAGCTGAGGCATGCCCACACAGACTCCGTAGTATTGCAGTCCACGCAATGCCATTTCTGAGGATTGAGAATGGAGTGATCTTGGGCCAGCCGCAGACGTCCTACGTGCTTACACTTATCCATTGTTAAAACTGAAATTGCAGAGATACGCTGGCAAAACACATCATCCAAACTATTTTCTGTCCATGATATTTCAATCTGCGACTTAAAAAAAAAAAAAAATTAAAACCCCAATAAAAGGTTGTGAGTTACAGTTCATAAATCCCAGCTGCATCACTTTTACAGGTGTCAGTATACCAAACTCCTACTTGAGAGTAAGATCATGCTCTCCATCCAGCTACATCCCACCAAACATACAGAGGCAGTCAGTTACGTGCAGCCACTATCAGCGTCAGCAGCAGCAGTTTGATGTCCAGACTAAGCGGCCTGAACACCACTGTTCACATTCCTACTACCTCTTGGCTCGGAACTGAAGCACTAGCTAATACTTTAAATTAGGGCTGGGGGTTTTTAAAGGAGCACTGATTTAGTCACAAGACACTGTTGCAGAGTTTAGGTACAAACACAACTTAAAACGGCACAGGTTGCCCAGAAAAGCTGTGGATGCCCCATCCCTGGCAGTATTCAAGGTCAGGTTGGCCAGGGCTCTGAGCAACCTGATCTGGTGGGAGAGGTCCCTGCTCACTGCAGGGGGCTTGGACTAGAAAGTCTTTGAAGTTCCCTCCCAACCCAAACCATTCTGTGATTCTATGATTCTGAAATGTTCCTATTAATTCTGTCCCTAAGCATACAGGTACAGAAGTGCAAAGTTCACTTAAATTTATTATGTTTACACACTGCCAACAGTTCAGACAGATGGGGCTTTATACAACTCAAGCCCTTAATTAAACCACACCTTAAATTAAATCACTGCACCTTTGTGCTCAGGCAAGGCCATTACACCAGTGCTTTCCACAACAATGTATCTTCAGTAAGTACGTTTTAACCTGCCATCCTAACACTTCCAAAGGAAAAAGAGTGAGTAGGAAAAGCAGAGCTTCGTTTCTTCATAAGATGGAAATACCATTAAACACCCATCACAGTTGCTGCAAACTTTACAAAAACCTCCATTTTGAACAGATCTTTCTAATTCATGTCTTCAAAAATATCACTTAAAACACTGGCTAGTGCCGGCTTACATCCTTTAATAAGTTTATGGGTAGCATTAATTTATTCAAAGCTGCTGTATTTGCTTTCTCCTACAAGATGCATTTACCTAAAGCAAACAGGCAGGCCCTGACTAACAAAAAATAAAGAGACGGTGATTCTTTATGTTTGTACCATCTTTTTTTCAACTGTCTCTAGTTGAGAGATACAATCTAGAGACAGAGTGAGGAAGTAATTATATTTGATCGAGGTTGTTGGTGCTCACGATGTCGCGGACTAGAAGGACTAAATAGCAGCCAGCACCAGTATCATTATGCATAGTACTCGCATGGGGAAACCCAAAATACTGTATTCTGACTATTATCCTTGCCTATGCTAGTATTTCTCCATTTTTACAGTCCTGAAACACACAAGAATAGGTTACTCAATTATTCAATTTAGAACAGACGTCTAGGTTAGAATAAGCATTAGTTTGAGGGAACTCTAATACACAATGACGTGACACTGCTAAGGAAAGGAAACAGGTTAGAAGTTGCAGCTGCATAGGAAAGCAGCTTTATTTTTCATCTGGTACTTAGACACAAACTGTACGTAAGAGATTTAACAAGTAAAATAGCTTCAATTGGTTAAGTGGCCCACATCTCGTGCCTTTTAAAAGGTCACAACACAGACAGCAGCATAAGAGCTGTAACAACTCTCCAAGCACATCGCCAGCATCCAGCACTGCATGTGTTATGTAGGTCCTACTCTCTGATACGAAAAAGGTTGAGCCAGCTGTAGTGAACTGGTAAAGTGTACACAGCTTTACACACCCACATTAATAATTCTCATTCCATTTATTTACGAGTTGTCTCCAGTTCATACTAACTGTATTGAAGACCTTCAGGTGCCATGACCTCGGGGTACCCATTTGGTAATTCCCAGATTAAGTACCAGTCATAGTGTATCACGGGAGGTCAGGATCCCTTGTGTGCTATGGTCAACAGATCACAAAAATAATGGCTTGCTGAGCTTTTTTCAGCTTGCGAGCATCCACAACATTCACTCCTTCTAAAAAGGCAGTCTATTCACAGGCTGCTAATGAGATTCTTTTACAAATAGTCGTGCATACCAAGTTTGCTTCTTATATTGTCTTCATAAATATAGTAAGACCACTAGTGCTATCCCATGTCTTGTCCTAGTCTGACATCCTGTTCTCCCCAACAAAGCAGAGCTCTTCTAACACTGATAAAGTGCACATAAATTTCAGAGTTGGACGATGAATGTTAATTCTTCCTTGAGTATTAAATCAACACCCATGTAAGGCGCGCTGCAAGAATTAAGTATCGTAGACAGGACTTTAAGAGACAAGACTCATCTTTGTGGTTTTGGGCTAACAGAAATAGATTCTCCTGCGTAACATATTAGTAACGGTCCTTTCCAGCAGGCCAGAAAAGAACACTAAACCCTGCCTTCCCACAGGGCTGTCACATACAGCAATGCTGTCAGTCAGAGTCGGAGAGGTCGACCCTTTCTGGTTTTGTTAAAGTCGCTGTGTAAACACTGCCTTATTTTTCCTTCTTCTTTAATGTTATATGGTCAGAAAATCCATTTTCCTCCATTTTAAAAACATTATCAAGAGTGAAACTACTTACGTGCCTCAGCGTAAGAAGATGCTGGGCTGAGGACAAAAGCAGTCTGACGATTTCAGGGCGACCACTGCGTAAACCTGGGTTGCACAATCAAGCTCTTCATGCAAAAGCAACTCGATTCTACGAAAGCGCAAGACCAGCGCCTTGAAGAGAAAAACCTAAGAGCCCAGCTCCCCCGCCAGCAGCCCAGCCAGCAGGACGTTTTCCCACCTACGTCGATGTGTGGAGAAAGGAGATGGGTTGGGAGGGGGGAGGGGGAGGAAACAATCGCGACATGGGAGAAGTCTTTCTTTGAAGAAAATGTGAAGAAATAAAAATGCAGAGTTGGGTCGAAAAGAAAGAAGTATCTGAGAAGAGGGTGAAAATGCTAAAAGTACAAAAGGGAGAGCCAACTTCAGCGGAGCGTCAGGCAGCAGCACACTGACAGCGTGAATGACGTGGAGCACTGAAGTACCGAGCCTGCGCCAAGACACAAAACTTAAAAACTTTACCTTAGAGCCAAGACTTGGCAAGACACAATAGCTCGGGGAAAAACCAGGAGCCAAGTGACAGAAAACGGTGAAAGAAACCCCAAAAAAATCCTGCCTACTCATTCCCACGCCTACTAGAAAGCTGCAGCTGGAATAAAATAGGACAAGCAAACGCTCCGACCTTAAAATTCCCTACAGAAAGTTATTCAGCGCTCGGTTCTGCATTCTTCTCTCCCGAGGCTCAGTTCTGTGCACACACACAAAGAAACTGTGAATTACTTGACCAGCACTTCAGAGATCAAGCCCCCCTGTGTTCTTGGGGCAGACCTGAGCTGAAGCAGTAAGCAAAATACCAACATACAGAATAGCACTGCTGAAAGCATTAAGTTGTCTGGGAAAACAGATATACGCAAAGTCTTTTCTTGTGCCGGTTTCACGAGGATGAACTAAAGATATATGGAATGGGGTTGGGTTTTTTTTTTCTTCATTTAACTATATTTCAACCTTATCGACCTGCTCATTTCTTTAGTTTCACTAAAGAATGGCTGGGAAAATGCACGTTTTGGGATAACTCGTGAGCTGAAAAGTACTCGACGTCAAAAAGCAACTTAGCAGTCAAGAAAATGTGTTTTCCTTCCATTCGTGTTTCACGTAAACAAGCAATTAAGATTCAGCTTCGCAGCTGATCAATTTAAAAACTGTAACTCTGAATATAAACAAAAGGAAATGTTTTTCCCTTAGCCACTACTTTCGGAGTTAACTGCTTGGCACGTAAATGAAGAAATAAATATTCTATCTCAAGCGTTAAACGAGAAATGCAGTACATAGATTTACTAATACACACACGTGTGCGTGCGCCCGGGTGTGCATTAATATTCTGGCTTTAAATCAGACGACAGTTTACCAACTGCTTTTCGCCAGGTTCAGAGTACCTGTTTAGCACCCGAAAAGCCACGAACCACGGGTACCTGAACAACTGAACGTCTGAGATAACGAGCCTGCTAACCAGAAGACAGATGTACCGCCTTACTGCTTCCTCAAACCTTTTTTTTTTTTTTAAATGTAAGAAAACAACGCAACAAAACACTGATGGGCAGATCTTCAAGCTGTGCTACAGTCCTGCAGGCGGAACAGTAAGGCTTTAAAAAAAAAAAATCAAAGCAGCACTTCAAAGGGAAATTTTGTAAATGATTTCCGATTTTTAACAGTACAGCCTTTGACAAGGACCGCCCCCCGCCCCCACCGGAGCAACAGACCCTCATTTAACCGCTTTTTCTCGGCCAGCCAAGGCAGTAGGCACGGCGTGCGGGCTGGAAGCGGGCACTGCCACCCCGCACCGGCACGGCGTGACGCTCAGGGTCTCCCG